GTGATTGAAATCGGCAACCTAAGTCCCGGGGCTTAGGTTGCCGATTTCAATCACTGAACAGCAGTTCCTCGTGACTATGATGTCCGCCCCGTCTGCTGTTCATCACACTTAGGTATGTAGTAAAAAAATTAAAGCAAGGAGTACATAGAGTGCTATAACTCGGGTTAATAACCGATCGTTATGTTTCGAATCAGTCTTGCTTTGTTGATTCACGATAATGCATTTTAATATGAACTAGTTTCTGATCTTTCTCCGGGGTGGGTATAAAATATATTTGTGATAATTATTCACAAGAAATCAAGTTTGCAATGTTCCACCGTCAATGATTCGATCGTCATTTGTTCTCTTCTTTTCAACCTGTAGTGACCACAGATCACAACGACACGTACTATCAGCATCCGTATGAGGAGGTGGCCACAGACGACTATGCCGAGGCGAATAACCATCATCAGCATCTGCGCTCCACCACCACCACCACCACCGATTCTGTCTATCCAAGCAATCACATCTATCACCAGCACGGTTTGCCCATATTGAATAACGGGACAAGTGGTAGCCTGGTGAACGGTTGTGTTTACGAGAAAGGTGAGGCTGGAGATGATGAGGAACGCTTAAGTCTGGACGAAGGTCATATGGGCTCCTTGGGTCCGAGTCCGTTAGGTACCAGATATGATCCAGCTGCAATAGTATCTCAGCCCGGGCAACTGTTATCGAACTATCCCCATCTGACCGCCCAAGATCCACGAGCGGGGCCACAATCACCGCGATGGTTGGACGCTTCCGGGTTGAGTATGAACTCCGGGAAGCATAACACGGTCCCGGTAAGTTTGCAAACGGTCCTTGGTTTGTCATGTGGTCATTCAATGAAATTGAAATTCTCTGTGTCACATTTACGAATTTACACCAAGTGATGTTTGTTCTTCTGATCAAAAATCCCGTAAACGATTTCCGACCGAGGTTTCACGCTCTTTTTAACGGCGCGTAAAAATACTCGTTCACATACGTTTGAGTTCAGATTGAGTGTCGGACAAATCACGGTACAATAATCTTCATAAAGAGAAAAAGCTCTATGATTTGTTCTGGTACGTGACACCGCTAGGTTTCCCAGGCCAAAGCAAGCAAACGTTTTGGTGGAATTCATAACCGAAGTCTTCGGCTAACTAAAACCAGACTTCCAGGGTAGCGGAGCGGTGTGTGTAAACCGCAATGCATTGCGGATAGGTGTTCAGCTCATTGGATCATATATACACTCTTTGGACAAAGTCAAGCTTCCGAGGTGTCCAACGCAACCGGTGACCTCTGCTACATCCAAGAAGGTGTGGATGGTTCGTATTCCCCCTCTTGCTTGGTTTTGAATCAAGGTCTGTAGTCAACTTCCCTAGGTGGACTGCCAGTGGTTTACTAACCCGGTTGGTGGCTTTTCGTCCCCCCACCCTGGACCAATGGTAAATATCTGTAGACAAGATGAGTCCACCTTGAATCCGTACAGATTCATTGAATCGATCTGTTCATTTAAAACGATCACATCGCCCGTCTTGTTTTCTTAATAAACTCCTCCCTTCATTGTTCAAATATAATTATTTTAGTTTAACACAAGCAATTACAGTTGTAATAATGTTGATCACAACCTTTTTTTCAAACTAAGCACACTATCCTTTCCGCTTACTCGTTTCTAGTCTGATTCTGCCAATCATCGAGACAGCAAATCCACATCCGGCATGACTGATGCAGAGGATGCTGAAAGCGAGTTCAGTCTTTCCGCGTTTCGTCGTGACGATATTCGAATCCCCTCGTATCAGTTGGGTTCAGTTCCCGGGGGCGCATCAAATGGCTCACGTGGTCTGTTAAAACCGACCCATTTGCGACATCTAAACGCACCGGACCAGACACGAGCGTCTACCCGTGGCTCAAGCGAACTCGGCACAGATATTCGAAGCAACGATGGCACATGTGACGAGTCCGATACGAGCTCTTTGCCCGAAGCCGGTTGTGATTTGGTTCAGCTGGCCCAATTGGACGTATCTGGTCGACCAAATCCACTCCTAAATGACCTGGCTCGGCAGCAGGCAAGTCTTTTCGAGAGCACTAGTTAGAGTTAGTGGATCTAGTTGAAATAGTAGAACAGCCCCAGAAACGACCCATTAGAGAGAGAGGGATATTTTTAAGTATGATGAACTGTCACACGATGCCCTTCCATTCATTTATTATCTAATGTGGTTTTAGTGCCAATTGAGTTAGGAGGCGATGTCTGTAGAGTTGTTCCATCTAATCGAAACTATTGAAAGAGGCTGAACATAGTATACAACTAAACTCAACTTTTCTATCATACAATCTGTGCAAATTGACGGACCCCGGAGTGCGCACATGCTTCCCGTTCTCACACGACCTCGTTATTCACACATCGGTTTCATCTTTCCCCGGGAGGAACCATTAGCAGTGCCTATACGTAGATGGTACGAATCCGATCATGATCAAGAGGTGGTCGTTTAGCCGAATCTTGGATTAGTATCATGCAAATGTTGCATGAAATAGCGCCAATCTGTCTATGGGATCGTGGGTAGAGTCAGATTACATTCGATCTGATAAATTCAACCAATCAAGTGGATCAAATAATACGATGATTTACGATGCATTTTCCACAGCATAACACACCACAGACAATCAGTCCCGATGACCTACTACCACCTAGCAAAGCTATATGGCAATTTGAACTTGGAAAATTGCTGGACTGAGCTAGGGAGACAGGCGATAGGGGTTGTTTAGGGATCATTTTTTCAGTTTTAAGTTTGTACAAGCATGTAACCGTGCATTTTCGTGTGCTGCGTTTTGGCTGCCCATTTGGATGAACCATTAGGAGATTGAAGGTGGAGTCAAAGAGAAAATGAGGAATTTCAGTGGACTAGGGTTGCCAAGAAATTGAGCAGTTGCACGAACGCCAATGTTTGCGGCACTCAGCCATCGATTACGATCATCCCGAGGTTCCCATCCAGGGAGCCTAACGGGATCTATGTGACCCAGCCCAGTGGTGAGGGCTTTCAAACCCGAGTGTCAGGTCTTAGCTTCATCACCCATGGGTTTTTTCCAGCCACTACATACCTCGGCAAATATTGCTCGCCGTGGCAATCTATTTGGTGACATGCGCAGCACGTCCCAACCAACGTAATCTATGGTGGTCGACCACTTGCTCCAGTGGGTGGCCGCATTTACCCAAAACTCTGCACCTAACCTCAACATTGTTCGTCCGGCTGCCCTACCAGTTTCGTGCAATGCTGCGTAGACAGCGATGTTCAGACACCGACAGTCTATCTTTATCCTGATTTCTTAATGGTCCGCTCCATATAACAGAACCGGTCGAACTGCCGCCGCATACACTCGACCTTTCACAGACAACCGGATAACGCGATGATGCCACAGATGTCTCAAATTGACAAATGCCAACCGAGCCTTCTGTATGCGAGCTGACACTTCATCCATGATGCGTGCATCGGGTGAGATGTAGCTGTCCAAGTAACAAAACTTATCCACTTGCTCTATTACTTCCCAAGTTAGAGTGAGGCGAGATGCTGGATTTAACCCAGTTCGTGTTTTGGGCCGAAAAAAAACCGATCGCATTCCTGAATTGCCATTATCCAAATTGTGATAAATCTCCTTGTTCAGAGTTACTATCTGGAAATTTCTACAATTGTCCAACAGAACTTGCAGATAAACATAGGGTGAGACTCTCTGTAGAAAACCGGAACATCACAATGAGGAGGTCAGCGCTTGAAAAGGAAAAAATCCCTCCCCTCAGTGAAGGGCAATACCAGAACAGCAGGCGGAAACAGGTGCTTTATACCGCCGCTCAAGCATCGTATGGTAGACGACATGTATGCATGTATGGCCATGAGCTGTTTAGGTGCTAGGGACCAGGCAGGAGATCGGATCAACACTGAGGAGTAGTTATAGGGGAGCGGGTGTGTGTGTGTGGGGGGGGGCGTTCTGCGAACCCAGCAATGAAATTTTGTTCTTCTTCACTTTTTGGATAATAGCTCGTATTCAGTATTTTTGGTAAAAAGAAATCATGTTGGGTAAAAGCAAGTTATTATACATGATATATATTTCATGATAAGTAGTATATGATTGACCATACAAAATTTCGCTGGAATCACGCGGTTCTCATCGCTTGTTAAGCATGCGTATCCGGTAATCTTTTATCAGTTAATTCATATACTTGTACCCAGGAAGTATATATATATATATATATATATATATATATAATAACTTAGTAAACAATCTCAGCGAAATAATCCACATAAATACACAGAGAGAGCAGTGAGGCAATTCAGAGGAATGATTCCAATTCACTGTCTCCAACCTATCATCGTATTTATATCTTCATCGATCATTTCGCTCCTTTTAAACAACAACAACACAGGCCAATTCTCGTCGATGGGGACATCAACTGAACGCGGAATCAAACGGTTCCAATTCGGCAACACAAAATGTGGCCTCGTATGAAGCGCCCGGGATCGGACGACTCGTTTCCCAATCGTACTCCGGCATGGACGGTATAAACACATCTCCAGTGGGAAGCCATCGTGCCACGGGAACCGCAGATGCACATGCAACCGATCAAAACGAACAGTGAACCACACACACACACACACACGTCACCTGGCGTGCATATTTGCTCTCTCTCGTGAGCGCGCTCTGCACCCTTGTACCTCGGGGTGATAGAACAACTATCCGTGCCCAAACGTAATCA